TACTTCCTGCTGAAAAGGGACGCTGTAGGTTTCAGGGTGAAGATCTTCTCTCACTACTCTAAAGGGCTCCTTTGGCAGTAGGAAACTATACATAGACTACTATGGAGATTGATTTTGGAATTTATATGCACTGTTATCAATTGTGCTTAGCTGTACATGTTCATATCCTTGAAGATGTATCATGGAAGTGTTGCAGCCTAGAAGACACAAATTTAACTAACAAGTTAAAAGTACATGAGTCAAAAATTAAAAAGCAATAATATTCCGAGTAGAGGTTCTAATAGTAGCACAAATCAAGTTACAGAGGGAAGGTGGTTCTTACAGTAAAAGGCCTATAGACTAGCACTTTGTCTATTATAGTGTAGAGGTTAGGAACCACAAGATGTAGAGGCTCAGCTATGTCATTTATGTTTCTTGAGTCCTGGAGCAAATTCCATCTACCACTGGGTTGTTTTACAACTTGGAAGTTCGCATGAAAGGTAGAGGTGAAGTAAGGAACTGCTTATGAGGTTTTCCATCCATTCCAACAACTAAGAAATAGTGAGAAGAGTTGGGACTTCAGAAGGCTTTTAGGACCAATTAGTAGGCTCTGTGTCCAGGAGAAAACGAATATACTTAGCAGTAATGTTAATGCTCACCCACAGCTTTTCTCGGAGGATCTAAATCATTGAAGTGTCCTCCTTTGTTTCTAGCTAGAAGCTGGGGCCTGTCAGTCCTGTCTGCCATGAGGACCTGATGTGGACCACCTTGGCCATGTGTCCTTCAGATCCACACTTAAAGCAAGTGAGTGGGAGCTTCCTCTCTACTGCCTTGCCTATCTGTGGCTCTCGTCTGTGACACTGTCTACTGAAGTGGCCCAGCTTTCCACAATGGAAGCAATTCTGACCTCCTTTATTACCTTTGGGTGGCACTGTGTATGAGTAAGACTTCCTTTTCCTGACACAGGCCCTAAACTGGCAGCAATAGCTGCCCCAATAATTTTGGCCATTCTCTGGTCTTTTCTCTTCCCTCTAGATCCCAGTTGTTAAAAGAGGGAAAAATTTAAGGAAATGTTTATCAAATAATTTTGAACATTATAATCTTTTAAGCTTAAGGCTAGAAGTATTAACAATATCATCATTTACAATCCAGAGATACATGTTCCAATGCAATACCTATTTTCCATAAATGGTTTTGATAAGAGGAATGCTGTAAATGTGGATACATTTTCACTATTCCCCCTCCATGCCACAATATAGTGTTATTAAGGTCCTTGATCTTTTGCTTTTTTACCACTACTTCCATGGAGACTGACTATGGGTTCAAGAAAATGAAATTGCTGACAACTTCAATCTTTTCTCTACTATCATGGTGTGCCTACTAATCTGATGGTGAGGATTTTTGTTTTCTTGATGTAGAGGTATAATTCATACTGAAAACTGTAGTCTTAGGTCTTCAGTAAGTATTTGAAGTCCTCTTCCCATTCTGCAAGCAAGGCTGTGTCATCTGTACAATCTAGGTTGTTGATGAGTCTTCCTCCAGTGCTGATGCTATGTTCTTCATATTACACAGCTTCTCAACTTATTCTTCAGCATATTGATAGATATGGCGACCCTGACTCATACTTTCCTGATTTTAAACGATGAAGTATCTCCTGGTTTTTTCAAATAACTGCATCCTGGTTTACAAGTTTTCTCATGAGCACAATTAAATGCTTTGGGATTTCCATTCTCCTCAATGTTATCCTTAATTTATTATGATCCAAGAATATGAGTGTCTTTGAATAGTCAATAAAACACAAGTAAACATTTTCATTCTGTGCTTTCAGCCACTATTCATTTGATATCAGCAAAGATGGAGGGTTCCTCTGTGTTAGAACTGACTTGATAGCAATGGGTTGATTGATAGGTTGGCTTTGTTATTTAGGTATAATGGAACATATATAACAAAACCAGCCAATCAACCTTTATATATA